ATCATCAAACTTGAAGATCTCAGCAAATTTAATGCTTTCCCATAGGAAAGCATAGGGAGGCTATTGTGCATGTGTGGCAAAAAGCTGTGCAGCTAATCCGCATCTCCATGGGGAGCGTTCAATCCAATACACTGCACACAAACCCAGTACATTGCCCCCAAATCCAAAACACTGTCCCCTCCACCCAATCTAATAAACTGCCCCTTAATCTAATACAGTGCCCCTCCTCCCTTCACTATAATTGAATGCACTGCTCCTCCTCCCAACACTCTAATTTAATACACTAGCCCCCTCCCTCCCCATGTTAATACATTGCCCTCCCCCTAATTTAACACACTGACTGCCCCTCCCATCACTCTAATACACTGCCCCCATCCCCAATTTAATACACTGGGCACTTCCCTCTCCCAAATTAATAGACTGCCCACTCCCTCCCCCCATTTAATACACTGCCCATTCCCTCCCTTAAATTAATACACTGTGCCCCTTCCACAATTTATTACACTACAAAGTAAGTCCCTCTTCCCCTACCTTAAGTTGAGCCACCCATTCTCCAGTTCCAGCCCTGCTCTTCTCTGCTCAAGCAGGCCAGGCGCTCCTCTGGCACTGCGGACAGGAGGGAAGGGGGAGTGGCTGGCCTGCAGGAGGGAAGACAAGAATCAGACAGGAAATATATTTCCTGTCTTGCAGCTGGTCGCAGCCATAACACAAAGTGGCCCGCAAATATATCCATTGTGGGCCGCAAGTTTGACATGCTTGGTGTAGGGGTTTATAAAAACACCCCTCTCTGTCTCATTAGAGATTTTACCTTTTAGCTGAAGATGGCAAGAATAGTAAGTGTAGGACTCACCTAAGATATTTTGCCTTGACGTGGCAGGTGAGCTTACACTTGAATAGCCATTGAAGTGATACTAAAAAAACCTGTATTTATTTAAATGTGCATAGGGATTTGGGATGGTGCACAAGTAACTCGTCCTGTTTGATACTATGCAGCAGGGGAAGATGCTTTGTTTCATGGTATACAGTAGGGGGCGATGCTGTCCTGTTTGATACTATGCAGCAGGGGAAGATGCTTTGTTTCATGGTATACAGTAGGGGGCGATGCTGTCCTGTTTGATACTATGCAGCAGGGGAAGATGCTTTGTTTCATGGTATACAGTAGGGGGCGATGCTGTCCTGTTTGATACTATGCAGCAGGGGAAGATGCTTTGTTTCATGGTATACAGTAGGGGGCGATGCTGTCCTGTTTGATACTATGCAGCAGGGGAAGATGCTTTGTTTCATGGTATACAGTAGGGGGCGATGCTGTCCTGTTTGATACTATGCAGCGGGGGAAGATGCTTTGTTTCATGGTATACAGTAGGGGGCGATGCTGTCCTGTTTGATACTATGCAGCAGGGGAAGATGCTTTGTTTCATGGTATACAGTAGGGGGCGATGCTGTCCTGTTTGATAGCATGCAGCAGGGGAAGATGCTTTGTTTCATGGTATACAGTAGGGGGCGATGCTGTCCTGTTTGGTATACAGTACAGTACAGTACATCTCTGAAACTGCTATGTTTATAGAAAAAAGGGTTAATCCTAGCTGAACCGGGCACCCAGACCACCTCATTAAGCTGAAGTGGTCTTGGTGCCTATAGTGGTCCTTTAATCGACAAATGTCCTGGAACTACATACTGGTTTTTACACCTACAAAAATGGAAAAAAATCAACGTTGAAATACAAGTTAGTAGAGGTAACCAATGTATGTACAGCCTGTATACACAGTAGTGGGTGCAGAAAATGTAAAGAACCAACCCTTCTAAGAGGACGGAAGGAAGGGGTGGTTCCTTGGCAAGACATCTATCAATATACATCCACCTACCTACCTCAAATCCTCATGGATTGTAAGATTGTTTTGAGCAGGGCCTTCTTTATCTCTAAATATCCCCTTTCTACAATTGTAATGCAATGCAGACTATGTTGGTGCTATACGTAAATGATAATGATACCAGAACATAAAATAATGAGATAAGAAGCAGACCCCTTCCACACCAAAAGGACATTCTACCAATCAGAAGTTGGTTTTTTTTTTCCATATCCTTTAAATCCCTGTCTAGCAGGATTGTGCAGCCTTACACTAATGTAGGGCAACTTTAATCAAGAAGGACAGAAAATTCAAAAGTTAGCAAAATGTATTATCAACCTCAGAGTGACCAGGGTAAAGTTTTTGCAGGTGTAGAATAGGCCCCTGTATCACCAGAGCAAATCTGCAGGGCTGCCAACGGTCATTGAATGAAACATGACACATTACACATCCACTGGGATCTTTACAGTTGCATCTATTCAGAACAAATATGACCTGCGATATTTAAAAAGATAGGATGGAGGTGTTTTAGGTCTCATTAACTGCTAGCAGTTTCAATTGCTGTTAGTAAAAGTTAAAAACAACAGATCTGCTTTTAACATTTAAAACAAAGGTAGTTTAATGACAGATCAAATGAGCTACTGGCATTACCCTACTTAAGGTATATATATATATATATATATATATATTACATTTTAAATTATAAAATTACTTTGTACTAAGTCTTGTATCATGTCAAAGAAAGGAAACAAAAAGCATTCAATATAAACATATATAAAAAAAAAACATGAACAGAGACTGAAGAGCTGCCAGAGGTCACAAGACATCTTGAGAAGGGAATGAAAAATGGGGGGAGGGAGGGGAAGATAAACAATATATGTTTATGTGGCTGGAACATTATGCAATGCAGGTTGCACTGTAAGCTGATTTTCTGTGTGTCTGTACATTATAGTACCATTAGCCCAGTGCTTATTCCTTGGCATCAGAAAGATGTACAGCAATCTTACGGGTCTACCACATTCCAGTCAACTGCAAGTTATATTTTGCCATCTGGAGCCATGTATAGTCAGTGTGTACCATGCAGAGGACAGCATTAGGCAGTACCAGTGCCTGCCGTGCAGTTTGTGGTTGGTCACCACTGTCCTTTGGAGCAGAAAGAAAATGTAAGTCTAATCTTGGATTCCGCACCATGTGCTTAGAACATTTCACTAAATGAGTCAATTAGAGAGTGTGGCATGGGAATAACAGACTGCTGTTAGAGAAAGCAACGCTATAGTTTAAAGAGCCTGGTTCACAGATTATAGCTGCAAAAATATTTGTTCTACACATTTGTTTACATTCCAACAATGTATTTTGTTCCATATTATCTAGTCAGGATTCATGTACTGGCCTACACACCAAAAAAAAAGTTTGTAGCTTTAAATATTATGTACAATCATTTGTTTCTCGAACGTTTAGCGCATTCCTAATATCTGTCGACTTTTCAGCTGATAATTTTTCTCCATTTCACTCAAAGCTTTTGCACGCATGTTGGCTGCCTGCAGTCTTTTCTTCAGTTCTGTACATTTCTCTTGTGGTAAACCATATTTGTCCATGTTGCGATTTTCTTTACTTTGGGTGCCAAAATGAACCTTCTTACTGCGAGTTGAAGAGGAATCCAGATATCCATCTGCAACATAGGAGAAGGGTATGAGAGTTTTAACAACTCTTCCACTGCCTCTTCAGTGTTATTGAAGAGAGGGACAGTATATCTTCTAATACAGTAGTGTTTTGTTTTTTTACAGAAGACAATGTATTTAAAAACAGCTTTTATATAAAGCTGGAGATGATAACCAACCCGCTTAGAATATTTTCTCTAACTTGTGCTAACAGCTGCAAAACTCCTCAATTTAGCAAACCAACGTGCATATGTGATCTTTAACATGGAAAAGCTGCATAAATGTAGCTCTGCCACAGCAAATAAATAAAAAGGTTTGTAACCATGTTAAAACTGATCAGTGGGATATATTAGCTTGCAGGTGTAAAGATTTAAACTTACACGCAGTATACCTATTGTTACACTTCCAGCACCAAACTCTGTGTTCAAAGAAAGACTACAAACACAGCTTCAAGTAACTGATAAGGGAGATCTGCCAGTAACATGTACAACCTGCATTGTAGAATACAAAGCATGTAACATGGGGTGAGAGGCAGGGCTCACCATGACTTGCCTCTATACTGGTAAAAAAGAGACAGGGCCCTTTTTTTTTATTATTAATAAGTTAGAGTATGGTCAAGCTTGGTTTCTAAACCAAAAACTGTAAGAAATTAAAAGCAAAACATGGGTATAACAGTATGTGAAAATATTTCCAAATCCGGTATGTTGGCAAAAGTCTTCATGTAAAGTCTTACTTTCCATTTTGTAACATGCTCCCACAAAGCAGAT